AATATGCCGGGACGCAGATTGGTTCCAAGGCAACGTCAAGGTCGTCGCGTGTGACGACGAAAGGTCTCCGGGCCTGTACAAGAAGGCGTGGCCACACTGGGAGAGGTCTACCCCGGAGCGATGCTACGGGCTATGGACTTCAAGGACATCCCATCCAGGCCTAGAGCAAGGGCATGGATACCGGCCAAACCGACCGAACCTGAGAGAGTGCTTGAGATTATAAGGCTCTTTAATCCCGAGTTACCCTCTCACAATTGGAAGGTGGTGCGACTGGAGCATAGCACAAAGGCGACTCGTCAGCGGTCCTTCTGCTAAAAAAGTAGTCCTTGCCACTCCTCGAAAAGACTGGGGGCGTCATTAATTACGGTTTCGACACCGTGAAGATAAGGGTGTACACGAACGACGTGAACGCAGCAAGAGGCAACGAAGTTGAGCCGGAAGAAGACAATAGCGAGAATGAGGTGGTCGAGGAATCCAACCAGGCCAATCCGATGGATGACCTGGCTGGTGGATACGCCTCATCTACATCCTCTCTGGGAGTCGACCATATCTTCCGGCAATACACAGAAGAGGAGCTGATGTCAGTCGACGACGAGGCGAACTCAACAGTGGTGGAGGTGCGGCCAAGATGGTTCGCGTCCTCCAGATTAATCTCCACCACAGCAAAGCAGCGTCGGCTGCACTGCTGCTCCAGCTCTCAAAAGGGGCAGCAGACATCGCCCTCATCCAGGAGCCTTGGGTGATAGGGCATAGAATTTGCGGGCTGAAGTCGGCAGAGCACACTTTGATAAGTGGAGCTACCATAGGTAAACCAAGGGCCTGCATTCTTGTAAGTACCAAACTAAAAATATTGTTTCTTCCTCAGTTCAGTGACGAAGACACCACCACCATCAGTCTGGAGGCGAACCGACGACAAATAAGGCTTGCCTCAATGTATCTGGCACATGACAGACCTGTTCCAACCTTACCGGTCGAACAGTTGGTCAAGCGCTGGGACGGGGCCCTGATTTTAGGAGGTGATGCGAATGCACACCATAGCACATGGGGAAGCGGAGACATCAATGAACGGGGTGAGTCACTCTTTGAATTCATACTAAAATCTAACTTAGTTATAAGCAATAGGGGTAGCGAGCCTACCTTCATAACGAAGAGCAGAAGAGAGGTCCTGGATGTTACCCTCGTCTCAGAAGATGCGGAGGTTATGATCAGGAACTGGAGGGTGCTTGATGAGCATTCCTTCTATGATCACCGCTTCATCCAATTCGACTTAGATGGGGTCCCGTCCAAGGTATCTCCCAGAAGAAATCTAAAGAAAGCCGATTGGCATAAGTACAGAAAAGAGCTTGATAAGCGGCTCTCAAGAACCACACTAGCAATTCCAGGGAACTCTAGGGACCTAGATAGGCTGGCAAATCGCTTTACTGCGGCGTGTGGCAAGGCTCTGGATCAGGCCTGCCCCATGGTAAAGCCGAGAGGCAAAAAGAAACCACCCTGGTGGAGTTAAGAGATTGACGAGGCCCGAAAAAATTGTCTCGCAAAATCCTCGGGAGGCGATATGCATTGGGAAATCTATAAGTTAAACTTGAAAGATTACAAGAAACTATTAAGGAAGAGCAAGAGATCCTAATGGATGAACTTCTGCAGTGGTATGGAATCCATATCAGAAGGTTCTAGGCTCAGGAAGGTTCTCTCTAGTTCACCTCGTATCGCCCCGGGATGCTTGCTAAGATCCGACGGAGCGTGGACGGAAACTGGGGAGGAATCCCTGGACCATCTTCTGAGCACACACTTTCCAGGCGCCACCGAGCAGCCACTGAACGAGCCAATGAGAGATAGCGGTCAACCGGTTACGGTAGACCTTATCACCAAAGAAAAACTAATGTGGGCAATAGGATCCTTCAAGCCTTACAAATCTGCGGGTCCAGATGGTTTTACACCGATTCAGCTGCAGCAATCTATGGAGCTAAGCTCAAAATGGCTGTATGCTATGTTTAAGGGAGTCCTCACTCTTAACTACATTCCGGAGACCTGGTAAAGGTCAAGGGTTGTCTGCATTCCTAAAGCGGGAAAAACATCCCATACTATCGCCAAAGATTTTAGACCTATTAGTCTATCATCTTTCCAGCTCAAGATAATGGAGCGACTGATTGAATCCTTTCTTAGGGAATCGGTTGCAGACAAAATTATGGCTTCGCAGCATGTCTATACGAAGGGGAAGTCCACCGAAACCGCGCTACAGGAAATCGTGTCGCATATTGAGAAATCCCTTGCGATAAAGGAATACACCTTGATAGCATTCTTAGACATTGAGGGTGCTTTCAACAACATCACACCTGAAGCAATCACATCAGCTCTAACGGGTCTGGGCATCGCGTCACAGCTAGTGTCGCTTATACGATAGCTGCTAGTAGGCAGGGTCGTGCGGGCGGAAATGGCGGGGGTGTCGCGGGACAGACACGTTTGCAGGGGAACCCCGCAGGGTAGCGTCCTCTCTCCCCTTTTATGGGTCATGGCGATAAATGAGTTATTGCAGACCCTGGAAGGGGAGGGAGGCGCGAAGGTCATTGCGTATGCTGACGACCTTGCGGTGGTTGTGAGTGGAAAATTTCCACAAACTCTGTGTGACATTATGCAGGACAGACTAAGGTTAATCGAAAGATGGACCAAGGAGAAAGGTCTGTGTGTTAATCCAGATAAAACGGACCTGGTGCTATTTACCAGGAAGTACAAGATCCCCTCACTTCAGCTCCCTGTCATAGGAAATAAGATTCTGAAGCTAGGGGAGACCGCAAAATAGCTAGGCGTAGTCCTGGACAAAAAGCTGAACTGGGCGCAAAATATACAAGAGCGTGTTAAAAAAGCGACGGTAGCCCTCTACAGCTGTAAGGGGGCGATTGGGCGTAGCGGGGGCTGTCCCCTAGCATCATGTACTGGCTATACACGGTAGTTGTTCGGCCGATTCTATTATATGGGGTCTTGGTATTGGCCAAGTCTCAACAGGAAATCTATAACTGAAGCACTCCAAAAGGTGCAAAGAACTGCGATGCTCTGCATCTGTGGAGGCTCTGTGCGTGCTGCTCGATATCTTGCCAATTAAAATTGTTGGAAAACAATCAGCGGGGTGTGCCGCCTTGAGGTTGAGGGAACTACCAGGCTGGAGGGACACTCAGGAAGGCCGCACCGCAATCTTAAAGAACGTAAATATACCGGACACGGATTACTGTGCACCAAGGTTGAACTTCACAAAGAGGTATAGGATTTCCATTCCAGAAAGAAAATTCTGGTCAGGAGGTGCTCCCGATGAAAGTGGATCACTCCACCTCTACACCGATGGCTCTAAGCTAGACGGAAAGCTAGGAGGGGGTCTTCTCAGCGCGGCTGGGGCTGGAAATATGTTTTCGCTTACCCAATCACTGCAGCGTCTTTCAAGCTGAGGTCGCTGCTATACAGGAAGCGGTTGAACACCTACGTATAAGAGAAGTCATTTATAACGATATCTTCATTTACTCCGACAGTCAGGCCGCACTCAAAGCGCTCGACTCCGTCACATGCAGTTCAAAAACCGTAGCAGACTGTCGCAGATTCTAAACGAGATGGCTGAGCAGTCTGCGCTTCACTTGGTATGGGTTCCGGGACACCGGAACATACCAGGCAATGAAAAGGCGGACGAACTTGCAAGAGAGGGCACATCCGCTCCACTTTCGCGGGCCTGGAAGAGGTTAGGCTGCCGCTCGCTAACTGAAAGCTCATTCTAAGGGATCTGTCTCTTAAACTAGCAAGGGACAGGTGGGATAGCCTCACCACTTGCCACAAGACGAAGCTTACATGGCCAAAATGGGACAAAAAGCGGTCGGTCATGCCGCATCTGTGGGGCTGATAACAGGCCATGTTGCTTTCGGAAGGCACGCGGAGAGGTTAGGGATCCCCCTACACGATTTCTGCAGAAGCTGCAGAAATGAAGAAGAGCCAGAAAGCTTGCGGCACCTGTTATGCCATTGCCCCGCACTTTGTAGAAGAAGACAAAAGTTTATGGGTTCAGGATTCTTTGAGGACCTAACCGACATAGCCGAAGTAGGCATACGGCAAGTTCTCGGTTTCGCGAAATCCACACGATGGTTTGAGTAGGAGGGTTCTAACGATCCGCGTGGTATCACAACGGGCCCACAACCAAAGGCCTATGTGGGCTATTGGGGTCACTGGCAGCCACTTCAACCTAACCTAACCTAACCTAAAAGTATACAACATGGAAGAGTAACACATGCGATGCGTAATCAGCCAAATCTGGCAGTGTGGCGGACATGCAACTTCATAGATGTTGTGTGTTTTTGGGGGCGTCTGCTGTACTTTGGAAATTTTTGGCGATCAAAATTAGCGATAGCAATTGTTTGAATCCGGCTGCAGATCGTTCATACATATACTCTACCGTTCTTCGTTGCCTGCAGCGCACTGAGGAGGAGTTTTCTCTCTCGCTTACTCAAACTCCGAGTTTCTGTCTGCCCTGGTTAGAACCCATATGGGACTAATGTAACTGTCATCACTGATGTTAATTTTACCGTTGCAGCCCAATCGGAAATTCTACTAGCCAGCTATTCTCATAGGTAGCATTTACGTCATCGGTGACAGTTAAATCTTGGTGGATTGTTATATCAGAAGCCCATAACAGGAGAAATTTTTTATTCAACATGGAAAATTTTTCATAGGTTGTTCTAAAGGGGCAGATGTGTCTGACAGCGAACTATTAATATTTGTATGCAATATGCGATGAAAAATATTTAAAATATAGGATACACGCCTCGCTTTTCAAACGCTATGACTTGGTTTTGCTATGAATTTTGACGTTTTTAATTTTAAAACACATTAAGGGGAATCACTGACTCCTGCAAACCCTTGCACGGTGCAGGGTTCGCACGTAAGAACCAGCTTTCCTATGGAGGGATATGCAATCACTCTATCCTATATGCATATATTCATAAGTATGTACATATCTATAATGAAATTACCTTTTACATTGAGATGGAAGCTCGATGTAGTCGTTCCCTGGTCGTTGACTGCAGTTAATGTGTATAACCCATCCTCCACAGGCTTAACACATTGGAAAACTAGTCTGTATTTATCGCCATCTAGGTCGGCAATTACTTCGCAGTTTTCATTGTTGCAGAGGTTTTCGTTTCCTCGAGTCCACGTAACTTTAGGTTTAGGATTTGCATAAATTATGGCATCAAAAGCTATGGTATCATCAGGAAGACAACTGCAATCTTTGAGACCAATAATTTCTGGCTTTGATAAAACATCAATCCAGCCACTGGTACTTATTTCACCATATTTATTTAGTATCTGCAGCTCATAATGTCCAGAATCCTTATGTTGACCTAAATAAATATAATAAAATCATGTTGAATTTATTGGAAACGGGTTGGGTACAAAATTATTATGGTTCAATATTCCGTATTTAAAATTCCGTATATATTCAAAATTTTGTATTCAAAACTCTGTAGGTATAGCAAAATTTTGTATTGAAAAATTCTGTATTGCAAAATTTCGTATGCAAAGATCTTAAAACCATAAAAAGTGCGCATGTGTTTTATTTATCCATATGGCTTTCCGATTTTTCCATAAAGATTTTCGTAAAGCATAATTTTGGAAATACACTTCCTTTCTTTGTCTATAGGTTTTCCGATTTTTCCAATACAGGATTCCGTAAAGCAAATATACATATCGTCGTTTAAAGTACAAAACCGCGTATGTGTAGAGGGAAAAACACTCATATTTAAAAATTGTTCTTTCATTTATAAAGCAGTCGCATTTCTGGCTAGAATGGCTGACTTCCACAACGTCAATTGCTTTGCATATGTACAAAGTATAAGGTTCCATAACGCCGAACTACAAAATATTGACAACGTGTACTTTTCCAAAACGCATCCGAAAAGTTATCGAAACGCATCGCAGGAGCAATCAGCGCATCAGAAACAAAGTTGATGCTTTGTTTGTTATTGGTTACCATTGGTGATTTAAAAATGGAAAATTCAGAAAAATTGTTCATTGCTACATGGAATATTTAAAATATGCAATATATATGGTTGCAATGTGGCGCAACTCTGCATATGCAAACAGTTTGAATACCGAAGTATAACAGTTTCCAAACATTGCATTGATACATTTTGGAAGTCAGCCTATATTTCAGGACGAATGGATAGGGCTTGAGCTAAGAGCTTCGGTGAACAAATATAATTTTTGGAAAAAAATTTGAGTTACGCGGTTTTGCAGAATAACGATACGCGGTTTTATACTTTAAACGACAATATATAGTTTATATTTATGTAATACTTTAAATTATAACTAATGTTTGAAAAAAAAATATACATATTTGGAGTCAAATCTCAGCCAAATATTCACCAAAATTTTGGTCAGTGCACGATGAGTCAACAAGTATCCATTTCCCAAAAACACATCATCATCGGCTAAAAGTTATCGTTGGGAAACGAGATTCAGGGGTGTAATAATCAATGATTCGAAAGAAGAGTTTGGTTTATGCAAAAGTTCAACCCACGACGATTCAAAATGGCCAAAAATACCCCAAAAGATAAAGCTGTAAAAGCATATAGAAAAATTAAAATAAGGAAAAAGTCTAGACATAAAACATATTTGTTTTCTAAAAAGAATTGCTAAACATTTATTTGTATATCAATATCTTTTTCCCATTTTTTTATTTAAGTACAGAATAAGATTTCAGTGTTAAATAAGATAATAGTAAAAAAATACCTTTAAAACAAGCTTTCTAAGTATGAACCAAACCAAACTCCGGACTACTTCATATCAGGGTTGTTGCGATTATTCGCATTCGCAACCGCGGGGCTTCCGCATTAATTTTAACATTCGCATTCGCTTTCGTATTCGCAATAATCCATGCGGAGCTTTTGCGAATGCGAATATTTTGCAAGTGGACCGATAAAACGTATACATATATGACAAAAAAAAAACTACATATTATAGCCAATATTTTTGCCTGTGGTCGTAGGAGTATTTGTGTAAAAAACTGGTCAAATGTCATATTTATCAACTTTGATAAAAATGTCTTTAAAATATTATTTCTTAAGCTATATAACCGAGCTATCAATGGGCAGCCATAAAAGTTCCCACTTCTACTTGACCTTTGACGTACGTCAAAGAGAACATAGTCCTTTTAATAGTATTTTTTTCTGTGCTTTAAATACCTGCTTTGGCTTCTTTCTTTATTATGATTTTTTGGACCAATCTTAAAAAAAAACTACTACATAGACATAAAAGAAGAAAGTCTGTAATTATTAACAAAATTTTCGTGATTTGCTTTTGATGTTATAGGCGGCATACACGGTGCGTCTGACTCGTGAGTCGGTTTGGATGTGTTTGTGAAAAAAAATATGTGTTGTTACACCAACATGACTCCCGCCGTGACTCTGAATGATTGAACAGTGTGTAGTCGAAGGCGAGTCAACACGTATACAAATGACTCGCGAGTCAGACGTACAGCGTATGCCACCTATTACATATATTCGTTTGAATAATTTCAAATGGGGCTCTTTGGGGAATTTATTTTTAGCAAAAATTTTAAAAACAGTAGTTTTTTTTACTTGGTGGATAATATTTTTTTCGTTGGGATATACACTGGACTCTTGGCTAAAAACTTTTGTGGTAAAACTGTCCCTTCTTTGCTATTTAAAGTCAATGAGTAAGCTCCTTCAATAGGGATTTCCAGTAGAAATGATAAACGTTAAGCTATAAAGAGAATCGATGCTCAAATAATTAAAAAGCTATAGGTCTGGCCTTTAATTAGATAATAATTACGTAACTATCTGTTATTCAAATGCTTATAAAAATGCTTTAAAAAAAATAACAATATTCTGATCCGATTCGGCTAGCAGCCACGACTTTGAAAACAGAATTTTGTTCAAAAATAATAATCTATTTTCCATATCCACCTATTTAGCCCGCTATAAGCACAAATTTTTCAAAGCAGTCGCAGAAAATACTATTAAAAATGAATTAAAAAAACTCAAATCGAAAAGTGCTGATAAAGTTACAGGTTTTCCAAATTCTGAAACAACATGACATACAGTGAGCACGCGATAATATGAACTAATTAGAACCAAGCCTGTTAATTTTTGAGAGATTGTTCATATTTACGAAAGGCTCAAGAATTAAAAAAACAAGTTTCATCAATTAAAAAAAAAAAATTGTTTTATTTAAAACTTTAAAAGAAACTTGTATTCGTTTTGTTTGTTACACAAATAAAACAAGTAAGAAAGTCTAAATTCGGGCGGAGCCGAACATTAAATACCCGGCGCAAGTATTAAATATATGTTTTTCACCTTTACGAAAGCTACCGCTACATGGTAAGCCGGGGTGTTCCAATTTTGAGTAAATTAGCGTCCTTAAATTTCGAAATATTGAAGTTTCAAGAATTTCTGAAGTTTACCGTTATATGAAAAGCGGCCGTAATCTTAGGCAGATTTCAATAATTTTCAATGTTTTTCTTCTATGTGACAAGCACAATAACCACACCAAATTTGGTACAAATAATAAATAATAGTTACAATAAAGCTCGTACATTTGCTACACATCTCAAAAAACAAATACCTATACCACAATAACCGAAGTTCCCCTGCATATGCGGCTTTTTTTATTTGTGTAACAAACAAAACGAATACACGTTTCTTTTAAAGTTTTAAATAATACACTTTTTTTTTTTAATTGATGAAACTAGTTTTTGTAATTCTTGAGCCTTTCGTAAATATGAACAATCTCGCAAAAATTAACAGGCTTGGTTTTAATTAGTTCATATTATCGCGATCTCACTGTATATGGTTAATATAATGTGGGATACTGTACCACATTACGATAACGCAGCTATTAGAATAAACGTGGTGTTCAAGTAATTAAAAATGTTCGTAATGTGGTATTGTAATACCTTAACCGACCCCTTGTCTACCACAATAACCGATTTTCAAAAATTCCAAACAAACTCATATAAAACATAAGCTTTCTATTAGCCGAGACTTGATAAACAAAATACAAAACTTACTTAGCAACATTAGGATTTTTTTTCTAAATCAAGTTTTTTTTAACAAATAACATGAAGTTAATCACTGTAAGCATTTCCGAGCGACACGTATGGACATTTTCAATGCAAATAACTAGGGGGTTCCCCAAATTACCAAGCGCTTGAAATTCGTTAGAAATTTTTCAAAACAATAATGCTCATATTTTGGAGCTTTTGCCTAAAGTTCATATTTTAGAGTAGTTCATATTTTGAGATGTTCATATGTTAGGATGTTAATATTATCGCGAGTTCACTGTACGTATCTGGTTTGGCTTGTAAGCGTTTAAACAACGATCTCACCATTATGCTAGATTCTAATTGTTTTTTAAAAAATACTTGACTTCCGCATTCGCATCCGCATCCGCGGATGTTAGCTGTTAGATATTCGCATCCGCGGATGTCTAAAATTCCACATCCGCAACATCCCTATTTCATATTGCATTGTCATCGGGTTATGAGCTAAGTTTAAAGCAATGCACATCGGGGTATTTGAACAATTTAGGCGGCCATAAACCAATTTGACAAAATTTTGAAGAAAACTTAAAAAAACAGTCACATTCGATAGAGAACATTCCAAATAACATTTTCCAGTCCCCCTCAATTTTCTAACTTACACAGCGAACGCTCACCGTTTACCGGAAAAAGAATATTATAACGCTGCTTATAAATAAATTTTGGCTCTCTAGAAAGATCGTGGCGATTTTAAGTTAATATTTTGATTTCTGCACTGTATTCTTAAAAAGTAGTGATGGATCCGCATACAGAAGGTAAAGGAAAGGTAATTTAAATGTAACGAAAATAGCGGTTTTCATCGAGTACTTTTTTTTATTTTCGTCGAATATTAAGGAATTTGTTGTATGCCCGGGAGAGATCGCGTTATTATTCTTTGTTCAGTTGAAACTCAGGAGCCAAACTGAGTATACCAAAATCTGCGCGCAATCTTAATAAGCATTACACTAAAAATTATCTCGTTGTATATTATAACGCTGAAGTAATTTTCTTGAAAGCGAACGAACTATGAAAATTTGCTTGTAAATTTTGTATACCGAAACTCAATGTCACGAATAGTAACGTTCTTTTTAATTCTTTCTCTATGAGACTTAAACTTTATTTACAAAGGAAATGTCGGCTTTAAAGATTAGGAAAACACTAGAAGGAAAACCCACGAGTGCGAAAAATTTTTTTCACATAGCAGTGAAATGAGACCGTAACAAGAATCATAAATTGCTTGATCTCTCTGCAAAATCGCAGCGTATAATGACAATAAAGTGCAAAGCAAGAAAAAAACATTAG